TGATGATGATGATGATGATGATGATGATGATGCGATGATGATGATGCTGATGATGATGATTCTGATGATGATGATGCTGATGATGATGATGATGATGATGCTGATTATGATGATGATGATGATGATGATGATGATGATGATGATGATGATGATGATGATGATGATGATGATGATGATGATGATGTTGATGATGATGATGATGATGTTGTTGATGTTGATGATGATGATGATGATGATGATGATGATGATGATGATGATGATGATGATGATGATGATGAGGATGAGGATGAGGATGAGGATGAGGATGAGGATGAGGATGAAGATGAGGATGATGAGGATGAGGATGAGGATGAGGATGAGGAGGAGGAGGAGGATGAGGAGGAGGAGGAGGAGGATTCTATTCGATGGGATTTGATTATTATCACCATTGGCGCCATCTCTGTCTGTCTCTGCCGTGCACTTGGGAATGGTCATACTATTCAAAATTCCGTCGACAGCGTATGTTATACACGTCTAGGGTTCTGGTGCGGTGAGCCTGCTCTAGCGGGACGCCTCGAAAGCTGGGCCTCGAGGTGACGGGACGTTGCCCTGCGGGACCGTCTCGGTCCCAGGGCACATCCCCACCGTCATCGACGAATGTCATGACTGTGAGGGGCATTCGTTATCCCGCGGAACATTATCCCGAGACAGCCCCAGGGAGCACACGACCGACGAAAAGCAGCCCAAAAAGCCAAGGAAGATCTCCCTCAAGCCTGCGCGCGTGCGGCCCCCGGCAGACCAGCCTCGGACGAACCAGCAACTGGCTTCCAGGGGCACTGCGGAGCAAGAGAGAAGCCAAGACGGCGCGCGCGCGGCCCCAGGCAGACCAACCTCGGACGAACTGGCAACTGGTTGCCAGGGGCGCAGCGCTGAAAGTCGCAACGACAAAGCCACACACAAAGACCTACACAGCTAGCCCCCTAGACAAGCTGTTGAAGTCTCAGAATTCTGTACACTATACCACGCCAAGGCTAGGGAATATGTCCGCTCACTTGATAGCATACTATTGGTAAATTGATGTGCCAGGCATTACTTGACGTGAAGCTAAGACATCTGTTACTATAGTATGCGGGAGGGGGCGCCTGGAACTCTGGAACTACACGTCCTGGAAGAGCTGCCTCCGAACTCGGAGGGCGTGACCTATAGACGGCTCGGTTCACCTGAGCAGTCAGGAGAGGAAGAGAATGGGTATCACCTCGCTCCCGATGAATATTTTGATCTTCATTTTCTGCGTGTTGCCTCTCCACCGTTGGTATGGAATGTGAAGCGCCGTCCCAAACAGTTAATTCACTGCACGCCATTGTGACATCTGGCCCTCCATGCCCTCGAGCCACTCCTGAAGCTCGCGCTCGAGGAGCGTCGCTGGACTCCACCTCCGCGTGCGTCTTGAGAGCGCCGCCGAGAGCGCCGCCCATCGCGTAGATGTAGGGTGGCCCGAGATCGTGATCCTTCTTGCCCTTCGCGTGGTCTGAGTAGTTCGATGTCTGTTCCTGCATTGCCAGCACCACTGAGCACGTCTCGAGCATCAGCCAAACTTCGTAGATGGCCGCCTGCATGTCGCGCATCTGTTGCGCGGATCGTAGAGTCTGCCTGGATAAAAGGCCGAGCATCGTCTTCTCGTCCTGCTTGGGTGCCTTGACTTCCTTCAGCCCGCTCTCCTTCTTTGACTGGTCTGGATCTTGTTGGCGCCGAGCTCGAACGTCTCGACCGTGTCCAGTGGAGTCCTCTTTTGAGCCGAGGGTTCCTGGCATGGGCCACCGCCGACGCAGCGCGTGGTTGAGCGCCCCTCGATATCAGAAGGCGTGGTAGGGGCAGCGGCAAGTGTACTCGTCGAAGGTGTGCGAAAAACTCGCTTGAGGTATCAAAAACTACGGAACACAATCCACATTGTAATATAAGATGGTGTTTGCAATTCCCATGCCATATGTGCTCGACCCAACTGACGTCCCCCCTGTGCGTGCGGTCGTTTGAGATGGTGTCGCGTGCAAGCAACATCTCGGAATACCGAACAGCAGTTAGGGCATTGATTTGTAGTGACCCCTGAATTTCGAGTAGATCGTATCCCATGGCGTGATGTTTGATGTGCGATGAGCTGCTGGAGCGTCGAGAAACCAATGGCGCAAGGAGCACCTGAAGAATCTAGGATCGTGCACTTAACTCGCTCAACTCCCTGTTCTTGTTGCTGCTGCTGCACGAGGACAGGACGGAACAGCTGGTCAAACAAAACAAACAACATTACGTATTAGTAAATACAGCTGCCCGCAACAAACCAGGATCACCTGCCAGGAGCTCATGTGCAACGTCCGATTCATAATCAAATAGTTCAAGCCAGGAATCATTTCGTAGACCCCATATTTCAAACAAGCTCTCTGTACCACTAACCCCGCGATATAATTCCAGATCTCGTTTAAGTTGTGGTGACCAAGGCTTAGCGTGCGATTGGATTTGTCCACACTCTGTTAGCTGAGTAGGTGCATGTAGTACAGGTCCACAAAGTGTAGCAATCGTTTGTCTGCGGGCCGTGGGGCATCTAATCGCACCTTGCAACCATCTAACTCTTCTGATGGCTAGTTCCCCCTGAGCTCGGTAGAATCCCCCATTCCCGAAGTGCGTCACCGTTGCTCGTCGAAACCGCGCGGGGCCCCGACCAGTCTGTGGCCGAGCCCTTCATGAGCACGCGAAGGTAGCGCGCAACAATAGTATCTAGCCGAGCATGTTCATTTTGGGATAATGCAAAAGCTTCCAGGCCCGTTGGAGGAGGAGGAGGAGGAGGATGAAGAGGAGGAGGAGGAGGAGGAGGAGCAGGAGGAGGAAGAGGCGCAGGGCTCCAGCGCCGAGGCTATCGAGAGCATCCGGAGGTCCGTGCCAGCCGTGGACGCGGAGGGTATGACGCCGCGGCAACGGGCCGTCTACGCGTACGCGGCCGAGCTCCACGGGCGCCGGCGCGTTGGCGAGGGCACCCACGCCGCGGCGCTGGCCGCTGTGGGAGGGGCGCCCCCGGGCCACTGAAAAATTCCAGGCCCCCAGGGGGGGGGAGGAGGAGGAAAGGAAAGAGGAGGAGGAGGAGGATCGAGGAGGAGATGGAGGAGGAGGACGAGGAGGAGGAGGAGGAGGAGAAGGACGATGGAGGAGGAGGAGGAATTCCTCGCATCTTCTAAGGCACATGTCTCTTCGACTCTGTGCCCACGCCCTTTCTAGATATGACGGCATGGCTCTGATTCCGTCTCCCGTCTGACGCCGGCACCTATCTATCCGACTCCTGGGTCCCGCCGCGCGGAATGAGCTTCGCCAGCGCCGCGGCCTGGCCCCCTCTGGGCTCCAGCCCGCCCGCGCTGCCCTCATAGGGCCAGTCCGTCGGACCGACAGTGCGTCTTCGTTGTAGTGTTTGACCGTTTTCGAGGCCCGGGGTGGTTTCCATCAGTCGGGTCGGGCGACAGGGGGGGATTGGGAAAGGGGGGGTTACGAAATTTAGCTGGTTTCGGCTTCACCGAGGGGCCCATTCCTCGATACATAGCCGCCTCCGGCGTCGGGAGGCGCCGGAAAAATCAGCTACGTGAGCTGATTCTCAAACCCCCCCTTTGCTATCCCCCCCTTTCGCCCGACCCGAATCAGTTGCGCCTCGTCGAGAGCGTTCCAGGGGTGCCCAGAATCGTCCCGAATGCCCGCCAGGGTCAGCATGTTCAGGAGCAGCGTTATGGCGGATAGGCTCAGACGGGGGGGGCGCATCCACCCCCAATCGCCGATTGATCGCCGATAGGGGCCCGATAGGCCATTCCCGCCCAGGATCGTGTGGGTTCGCTGCCGGGGGCCTATCGCCGATCTGTCGGCGATGCATCGCCGATTCCAGGTAGGTGTGCTATCCCCTGAGCCAGTGCCCCATTAACGTTTTATCCTTTGCAATCTGGGCGTTCTTCCACGACGTCGGGCTTTGGGGGCCGTTATCGGGCGTCGGTGATCAAGCGGGCGGCTCCGTGCAGGGGCTGCGGGCGAGCGAGGTTCAGCTCCGACCCAAGAGACCTGCCCTCCGACACCAGTTTATGCAACATCTTTTTTTTTGGGCCTCTCATTGGGCGGCACTCTCCAGACCTCAGAGATCACGAAGGTCTCCAGACGCTGAGGTTCGACGTTGCAAAAGCAAAAAGGTCGCAGCTTCGCGACTACGCGATAGGCGTCCTAGATCTAGTTCTTCTGCGGCATTTTTCGAGCCAGATCGATCTGTCAGGGTCCCTAGGTCCGAAACGGGGCAACATCGCTTCTTGTGGAAAAGTTGCACTGTCAGGATCTCATGTGAGGTCTCCAGAGGTCTGCAGAAGTTGTGGCAGAGCTGCCGGAGATTTGAGCGCTCGATCCTCCAGGAGCTCGTTCTGGCAGACCTCGCGCGGGCCCCTCCGGGCCTCCATGAGACCATACTCCATCCCATGGCGATAACGGGCGTGCCAATTGGGGTGGGGAGGAGGAGGAGGAGGAGGAGGAGAAGGAGGAGGAGGAGGAGTAGGAGGAGGAGGCAGAGGAAAACGAGGAGGAGGAGGAGGAGGAGGACCATATTCCATCCCCTGGCGATAACGGGCGTGTCAAGGGGGTGTGGGGAGGGGGGTCGGTAACGTGACGATCTGCGCCAGCGTCGCCTGGGAATGCCTAGGAATTGCCAATTCGCGGGCGCCGGCGCTAATCGCGATGTGACCAGGTGGGGGTGGATGGGGAGGGGTGGCGGGGCTGGTAACGGGCGTGATCGCGAATAATCAGATAAAATGGGCTCCGTCGTGGCCAGTTGATCGACCTGGGTCGATTCTTGGTTGTCCCATGCCCCGAAATAGAGACCCCAGATGCTGAGGATGGGGAAGCGCCTCTTCGAGACTCGGACCCTTCGAGGCTCGAGCCTATTTCCACGAACGCGACCTTTTAGACCTCGTGCTGACCTTGAGGGTCTCGGGCAGTCTGCGGAGTCGGAGGCCTAGAGGTTGGCACCAATACCGATATTGGCGATTACCTTCACTGATCCCGGTCTCGCTGAGGTGATGGTGGTAGTAATCGGGCCGATCAGGTGGCTGAATGATCTCCACGACTGGATTATGGGATCATCTTCCCCCATGGACTCACCCCGCTGTGTCGCGTTGGTCCTAATCCTAGACACTTCGCGAGACCCCACCAGCCCATCCAGAAACGATGCCCAGACGAGTTGCCCTGATGTGGAGGAGCATGCCGTGGAACAAGGGGTTGGGGAAGCCATCATACCCCAAGGAGAGGATGGAGGAGGAATCAGAGGAGGAGGAGGATGAGGAGGAGGAGGAGGAGGAGGTGGAGGAGTAGTAGGAGGAGGAGGTGGAGGA